GCACTCCAAAGTTTGGCAAAGTCCTTAATGATATTATTATAAATTTTTGACCCATGGTTTAAAGAAAATTTAAAATTTTTTGAAAACAGTTTTTGAATTCGTTTTGCCAAAGATAATTCCATTCAAAAATAACTTTTAGCGAACATTTATTATTTTGTATTATTTTATTTAATAATGGCCGAAAAAAATTTTTGCAATTTTTACTACATTTTAAAGAATATAATTTTACATGGCAAAATGCAAAATTTCAGCAAAATCGGTCAAATAGTTCCTCAGAAATCGAATTTTAAATATCAGACTTTTTTGAAATTCAATTCCTCAAGAACTAATCAACCAATTTTGCTCAAACTTTGTATTTTGCCTCGTAAAATTATATAATTAAAATGATGTAAAAAAAATTATACCTTACTTGTAACAGTTAAATTGAAATATTTATTTTGGTGCGTATAAGGTAAAGTTATTCATGTATTATTACTAAAATGGATGGGTTGCATAATTGGATGTATCTCTGGATATAGTCATGATTAAAAATAGGTAAATTATTGAAATGTCGTGATAAATAAAATTAAGGCCGAAATATATAAAAGGGTAATTAGATTAAATAAAGGGGAATGTGATCATTAAGGAGAGTGGTAGTACAATGCTAATGTGGGATAACAATAACCCAAGAGGTTCAAAGGGTCACAAAATGTGAGGTTTGAACAAATTGGATTAATTGGTATCACCGAATTTAGAATAAAGGTGAAGCTAAAGTAATTAAAGATAAATAAGATAAAGTCATGCTATATCCAAACATAAATATATATTCAATGCAATTTTTGTGATGTTTCCAAAGAAAGAAAGTAAATGCCCATGACAATAAAAAAAGGTACTCATCACATACAGAAGGAAAAAAGGTGATAACTAATAGCTATAAAGGTAAAGCTAAAAAAACAATCACGCAAAACTTTCTGTTCAACTAAACATTTATTTTTGTAAAACTACTTATTTTGATTATTTCGTAACAAACAAACAATATGATTCCAACACATTTTGTGGCACAGAAAAAATATCTTTTAAAAGGAAATGGGTGACAAGAGAATTTAAAGAAACCAAAGGCGTCATGCATAAAGTTAAATATAAAAGAACGAGTAATTTAACCGTTAAAATAAATATGAAAAGAAAACTTAAATTTGAGAGGGCTTTTAATGTTAAAGAAAATTAAAGGTATAAAATGTTGATTTTAAATTTTACAGAAATTTATTACAGCTATGGATTTAATTTAAAATAATTGCTAAGAAAAAATGTAAAAAGAAGTCTCTCGATACGGACCGAAGTCCGCATCGCGGAGAATTTAAAAAAAAGTAACCTGCCAGAAGGCTCGAGAAAAAGAGAATGTATTCAAAGTGACTTAAAAATTCCTTAACTGGTATAGGACCAGAAAAATTACAACCAATTAAATTTAAAGAGGCGGAGAGTCTGAAATTTAAAGGAAAGAGATTGGTTAGTTAACCCCCCTAAAATTAAAAGAAGAAGAAGAAAGGCGTGAATAGAGGGGTTGGTTGACTTTCCCCACAGGAAGTGTGATGACCGCAATGACCATGAGAAAGATCAACAAGAAAGTTAAAAATAAAAAAATTGTTAAATTGAAAAAAAGGAATAACGTTTAAAGAAAAAATTAAAGGCTTAGGTAAAATTAGAAATTAAATTGTCACATTACAATAAGTGTAAATGTGACACTTACCATTCAAAAGTTTTTGGACATTATTAGATAAAAAAAATAATAAATATTTACTAAAAATTATATTTTGCATGTAATTATTTTGGATCAACGAATTTAATAATTGTGTACAAAAAGTTTTCAATTCTCTTAAAAAGTTCTCGAGATGTAGCGAAATACGCAAAAAGTGAAATTAACATTAAGGGGTTTCCGAACTTTGGAAAACTCTCCTGATCAAACTATTGGGATCATATTTCTCAGATAACGGCAACCTCCTATATTTTGGTGATCAGAAATCCGAATCCTTTGAAAGAAGGCATGTTTATTCAGAGAAAGTAGGTTTTTGTGCCTGATTTCGCAACTTAAAATATCGTCTGTACTTGGTAATTAGTATGTTTAAGGTCACTTCCTCGAACCATCTATATTGAGTCCTAGAACCCTTTAAAAAAAATGGGTTTCATGGGTCCGCCAGAAAAATGCCCCCTGAATTCGCCTAAGTTGCCACTTTGGCGAACCCTTATAATAAATAAAATTATATCAGTACTTGTATATTGTGTAACGTCCCGCAGTGGACTGATCGTTAAGACACGGTTCCCAGCAGATCACCGAAGTCAAGCATCACTGGCTGCGGTCAGTGTGCGGGTGGGTGACCACTTGGATCAGTCTGCGTAGGGACCGAGGGTGTGCGGTATTGGTCCTCGTTAAACTGTGCTACCGTAAAGTGCTCGACTTCGNCTCTTAAGTAGGCCAAGTCATCTCACATTTTTCGTCTTTTAAGAGTCAAAATTCCATCATCGGTTTTCTTTCATTGAAACAACAAGGGGATACAGAAGGTTAAAAATACTATTAAGTCTTAAAACATCTAAAAAATAACTGACTAACAAAAACAAACCATATATAACGAGAAAAATTAAAAATAAAAGAACGGGACTATTTATGAAATATCAGAGAATTGCTGACTTTTGATGAGAATAGTTTTCGTTTTGAATTTAAGATTCATACTAACCTTTTCGGGTTTTTTCATTATTTTGAGCAAGATTATTACTATCCCGTTACGGGTATTTTAATTTAATTTTGTTTAGTTTATGTGTGGTTGTCAAATAAATGTGTTTTTATAAAATTAAAAAATAAAAAAAAGAACTGATTCTTAGCTTTGATTCGTTTCATTACCCTCCCTCTCGATTCTCCTTACAGCCACGTGGTTTCATTATGATGACTAAGATTATCGTGATGTGTGCGGGCCCATTATAGTTCACCTCCAGGCTCTATACTTGAAACGTAAAAAAAAAAAAAAAATTTTAAGAACCACGTTTTTTTAGGGGAGAATAATAATTAAAAAACAAAAATTTGAAAAACGTAGGGCGCATGAAGTGCATAACAGTAACAGTATGTGTGTTCATGAGAATATGTGTATGTATATCTGTAATTGTATGTGGATGTGGAATATGTTTGTGTATATGCATGTGCATGTGGATGTGTATGTGGTTGTGTATGTGCATGAATAAGAAAATGTGTATATCTACTGTTATATATTTCATGCTCCCCACGTTTTTCGTTTTTCAAATTTTTGTTTTTTAATTATTACTCTCCATTACAAAAACGCGGTTGTTAAAAATATTATTTTTAAATTTTTTTTTTTTTTTTTTTTTTGTACTCACTTCCAAAATCTCAATTTTTTCACTCACTGTACACAAAAGTTTTCAACTGACATGTGACACGAATTTGAAATAATCGAATCGACAGCAAAAGACAATCGCGAAAATGTAAATTTTTCTTTAACTTTAATTTTATTCTACTTTGTATGTCTTTTCACTCTTCCTTTTCATGCACTGTAGCACTCTCATGCAATTCTGAACTATGTGCCAAATTTGAAGTCTGTAGCTAGTCGGGAAGTTAGTTTAAAATCGATTAAAAAATTCCATCTGAACAGACATACACGAAGGCAAGTTGATATAATAAACGTGGTAACAAAGCAAATTTTAACAAATTATAATTAATTATCATAGAAATTATGGAAAAAAATGGCTTTTCCTTATTTAGTTAAATCAATTGCAAGTTGTCATTATTGTTTTAGATATCAGTTTCGTTTTTGTTTCTTTTTTTCACCATTGACTCACCATTTTGGACCAAAGTTGTGCGGAACGATAGTAATCAATAATTCTTATTTTAAATATTCATGTTATCATCAATCAAACAAAAAACAAAGCGAATATTAATTGTTTGTAAAAAAAATATTGTAAGAATAATTAATAACAAATAGATTTCCGTCATTTTGTAAGTCAAATCAATTATAGAAGGTCATTATATAAAACATCAGACTTCTTTTATGCTTGATTTTTTTATTTATTTTTATTTATTTATTTATGTTTTTGCTTTGGGCCATAGTTGTGAAGAATTTTTACTCCTTACGAGCCTTATTAAATATATATATACATATATATATTATCATACCTAAAAAAATACAAAAACATAATGGATTGCATTGGATTACACATTATTAGATATAAATTTGATACAATTCCTCTGAAAAAATAATACTTTTATATACGATATTGATGAAAGTGATATAAGTCCATTTAACAAACGTGAAAAATATTTACAACTGAGAATGAATGACAGAAAATCCATTTTTGTATTGTGATGTTTATTGTTTTTTATACACAACATTGACATATTGTTATTCGATTCATCTATGAAACTGATGATTATTCGGAATATTTTCTAATACTTGTCATAAAACGTCATTTCTGATTGTCAATAAAATAATTAATATATTAATACTCTTATTGGACAGAAGGGTGTTTTCGAACGTCAACATGCGCTACTTATTTTCGTTGAATTATCCGTCAATAAAACTCAAGATTCCGGTTTATTATTTTCACTTATTGATAACAGTATTACAGAAAAGTTACATATAAATAAACACTGAAAACATAGTGGTTATTCAGGCTGAACCTTGACTAACGTTGGTTATGAGAGTTGTGTTTATATTATATGTTATAGCATAGTTAGAGTGTATGAAACTTTGGTGGTGAAATAGTTTAACTATTCATTGAATGCATTTAAATGAAAAGAATGTTTCACGTCAAATATTTGTGCTTCGGGCGGAAAACCGTTAAGTTATTTGAACGTTCAAGGTCTGAAAACAGTGAGTGTTATTTGAAAGTATCGGCTGTTTAATTCCAAATTGTTGTTGCGATGTGCGTTATATCGTTTGAAAGAAATTTTAGCTTTTTAAGGATTCTTTAAGGTATAACCAATAAATTATTCTATCTTTCGGAAAACTCGATAGTTTAAAATAACGTGCATGAAAGTTAACTATTCATACATTAACTTTAACTTTTGAATTATTTAATCTTTATAAGTACTGCTATTGATAACAGACAAGTAAATAGAGAAATGATATTTTTGTTCTGATAATGAAAAACGCAATTTTGTCTGAATTGAACGCATGGAAATTTGTTTAAATTAGCGTATGAAAATATTCTACATGGAAAAATATAAATGTTTAAGTAGAAATAATATTTCGAATTGCCCCCCGCCCCCTCATGTTTGTTTTCAAGGCTAATTAATTTTATTTTCAAGATTTTTGTTTAGGGAGGAAAAAAAATTAAACAATTAACCCGTGTTCCGTTTATCTGGTTATCCTTTCCCTATTTTTGAACGTATTATATCCAACATTTTTTCAAAATTAGATAAAGCGTGCAACCAAATGAACAATACAAATGAACAGGAAACAATTTCCAAAAGAACTTAGAGTCGTTCTACCTCCTATAAAGCATCTTTCTGGTACTAATAAGGCTCTTAGTGGTATTATTAGCATTCCCGCAATAGAGTTAGAATATTTAAATTTAATTTCTAAACATCTAGATTTTAAATATGTGCCTATGGTTCCTCCTGATGGCGCATTTGGCTTTCAGGAAAAAAATGGCAATTGGACCGGAATTATTGGAATGCTTTCCAGACAGGAAGCTGACATGGCTATTGCTTATTTGGCCCAAACCCAACAAAGACAAACAGCGGTTGACTTCAGCTATCCTTATACTGTCCAGAAACAAGTTTTTATTACAAGCATATCTTTGCGTTCTCCACAAATGGCTACATACACTTATCCATTTGAAGGCAGCGTCTGGATTACTATTTCAATGTGTTTCCTTTCAATGACATTTCTACTTCGTTATCTGGATTTCAAAAGTCGAAAGTTAGTTGATATGTTGACTGTTATGTTTGGGAGTTTGTTGCGACAGTCATTTTATGTCACAAATAATAACTTTTATTATAGAATTAGTTATATTTCTTGGTGGATATTTGTGACGTTTATGACCCTAAGCTACAGTTCAGTTTTATTGTCATTTCTGACGATTCCTCTGAAGGCCAAAGGCATTCGAACTACGGATGCATTAAATAAAGCTGTTCAAAGCGGTTCCTATAAGGCGTTGGTGCCTATGGGTTCTGCCTTACTCCAACAGATGTTGCATAGCGATCAAGAACATATGAGAGAGTTGGGAGAAGCTATTAAGGAAAAGAGATGGTATTATGATGTTCGAGAGAATATAACTAAGTACTTTGCCGATGGAACAGTTTTAATTGGCCCAAAGCTGCGATTCAATGGTGTTTTATTCAAAAATAAAGACATCTCTGAAGATTCCTTTGGTACATGGAACGTGGGCATTGCTCTGAGGAAGAATTTCTGCTGTAAAAGTATTTTGAACAAATTTGTACTGAGATCAGATGGAGCAGGACTTTATCAAAAAATTATAATTGATCAACTAATTCATTCCGATATTCTCTATTATTCAAATTTAAAAGAAAATGAGGCAAGTGAAGCGCTCAATTGGGATGATGTACGCAGTGTTTTTGTCTTGTTATTTATTGGTTTAACCTTATCATTAATTTGTCTCATTTTTGAAATTGTGACTCATAATATTGTAATATTTATACGAAGCAAAATATTCCTAAGAGGTCGTTCTTTAAAACATCGTTTGAGGTATATGCGGCTATTAAGGAAAATGTTAAATATTGGCAGTTAGAAATTAATGTAAGTAAATGCTTTGAATTTTCTAGTAATTAAATACTGTTGAATATAGGTTTTTCTCTAAAAACCTTCCTGCATATTTTTAAAGCCTATACATGTTTAAAATCCTTATAAAAACGACGACTCATTAGGTCTTAATTCAAATTAATATTTAATCAAGAAAAAAAAGAAATTTAACGAAATTTTACAAATCACAGTAAATGAGGGCGGGTTTACAAAATACTAAGATCTGCTTCATTGCGTGAGCAAACAGAAAAGACTTGAAACACGATTTTTGAAATATTTTTCAAGTTTCTGTAAGTAATCAAAACAGGTTTTGATATTTTGCCTTCATTAATTGTAATTCGTATTATTTCGATGCAATTTCTGTTTTTTTTCTTCTTTTTCTAATATAATTACTAATTTACGTCCCCCAGTATGTATACTTTTTTTTAAATTTCTAATAAGGATTCTCAAAATATAAGTTAAGGGTTGGCTTTGCAGAACACCCTGTAAAATAGTTTCTTTTACAATTTGAAGTCTTTTGTTTTACATTGATCAAAATATTTCTTCCATGGCTTAAGAATAGTTTTGTTATAAAAACAAAACTTTGTTTTAAATTTTATTTTATTTATAAAACTTTTATTTTACTACCATTTTGGCATTATTGAAGGTTGTTATTGAAGTAACTAAGTTTTTGGATTGGCAAAAACATTGTATGGTAAATTGAAGGAAATAAAAATTACGTAATCAATAATCTAATTGTATATGAAGTAATAAAATATATAAGGCTCATTTNAGGGATTTTACTGCTTTCTCTAAAAGTTAAGTGACTTCAATAATCAATTCAAGGGCATTTCCCCCATAAAATGCGTTAACAAGTTTAAAATATTCTGAAATTTTACGGAAATAGAGAAAGTGGATCTCAAAAACAAGTTCGTTAAATAGAAAACTCACTTCGCTATTTGGAAGTTATTTTACGAGGAAATTTCCAAAATGTTCTTGTATTCTCAAAAGAATTCGCAAAATAGAGAAATTCGTAAAAGGGAAGTTCGTTAAATAGAAGTTCGACTGTATATAAGTAACATAAAAAGCTTCAACTGATCTTTTTATGTTATTCCTTTTCTTTTATTTTATTATTCTAATCCAAACACTTTCTCACACCTTTAAATTCACATCCTGTCCCTAATCTATTTTTAGCTCAAGCATGCATTAATTAATTTTTCCAGACATTTTTCCCTTTACTCTTTTGCGGGAAATGCGTGACCTATTTAATAAACCAATTGTAATTACTAAGATTTCCCTCTTTCCCTAAACTAAGACATTTTATGGATTTTCTTACATATAGATTCCCTAACATATAGGCTGAAGTACGTTGAAATCGTGGCTTTAATCTCTCTGGTCATTCATCTGAAAATGATTAAATAAAATTAAATTGCTCATTTTTGTGCCTGCTCGGCCGACTGCCTTCTTTATATATATATAAAAGAAAAACAGAAAAAATAAAAATCTATCTGAATTTTGGAAAGAAAATTTCAAAGCTAAATATCTCAGTTTTCTAATTACTGTACTTTTTAGAAAAAGTGAAGTTTAAAGTCTATTACTAACATCACGGCATCATAATAGTAGAAACGTCTATAAAAACAAAAGTTTTTCGAAAAAGAAAACGCTTGATGGAAACCAAAACAAAAATAATTTTAAATAAAGGATTTAACTCTAAAAAATTTTAATTTAATTTTTTCACACAGTTGTACTTTTTAGAAAAGAAAACCCATAAGAAATAACGTTTATTAGAAATCTCTTTAAAAAATGTTGTCATAATAAAAGCACTGATAAAAAGAACAGTTAATAAAAAAAAAAAAGCCAAAAAGAATAAAAAAAAAAAAATTGTTCTTAGGTCTGAACTTTAACGTTGAGAATCACTGTTTTTTTAAGTTACCAGCTACCTGTCCTAACGTACAGAAAAAAAAGTAGTAATAAAAGAATAAAATCTATCAGAAAAGTTCCATTAAAATTCTGTGCTTTAGTTAATACAGGAAAGCAAAAAAAAAAAAAAAAATGCAACAAAAAAAACTCCCAATTTTTAAAACATTAAGTGTTGAAAAAATGACAAAATCGACTTTATTGAATATAATTTTTAAAAAAATCAGCATTACAAAACTCATGGTTCAGTAAAGTAAAAAAGCAGTTTCAATTCTTCAAATTTCGCTTTTCCGTCTTTCAGAACATAAATTAACAAGTTTTAGAACTTAACAACTATGTCTAAAAACAATTTCTTATAATGTATAGCAAAAATTACGATTTTAGATTATTCTTCATAAATCTTTGACGAAAAATACTTTTTCTAATAATGCTTGGCCAACCGAATATTCGGCATATGGGCCGAATACTCGTTACATCCCTAATTGAAATCTGTATTTTATTTATTCAGCTTAACGGCTAATTTTCTTAATAAGTTGAATAAACCCAAGTGGCATCTAATATTATATAACATCAGAAAACTAGAAAATATAATACTATTTAGCATAACTTTTGAATATTAGAAAGTTAAAAGTCGTTGTTTTCTCAGCATTATATAACGTTAGATTTTATAAACTAATATTATTTAGCATTCGTGGTAATATTATTTTGCATTGGTTTTGATGCCATATAATATTAGATTTTATTTTTCAGTTATTATCTAGTGTCGTTTGTTTTATTTTTGGAGTAAGCTAGGGGAAGATTTGGATGGTAGTAGAATAATTCGGCGATGTAATTTTACTTAATTTTCCGCATTGTTGTGCTGCAGTAAAACACAGAAAATAGATGTATAATGTCATTTCTTACATTATTTACTTAGCAATACAGAGAAAAATTACTAAACAAAATTATGTTATTATGTTTTGCCATCCATTTTCCTCCCTCTTACTCCAAAGTATATTTGTGTCTAGTTGATTTTTTTGAATTAATATTTCAAATTTAATAAAGAAATAATATATCAGTAGCTAAGCCTTTATTGATATTTTTCCTTATACCATAAGTTTTCTGATAAATTTTATATCATTAATCATTTTCCAGTGTTTATTTTTAATTTTAAATGGGTTTCTTTTTTTTAAATATTTCAAATGAGCCATTTTTATCAAATTCTCAATTGAATTTGTTAGTTTGTAAAACATTTTTTATAAAAGTCATTAATCTAGTAATCTATTATTTTACTCTAGTTGTGTATAATTTCACAATTATCATACATTATTTATATTTTGAAATAATATAATAAAAAACAACCTATATAGTTATAAATTTATACTTACATATGAAGTGAGTGGAAATTTTAACCTTAAAATATAGTGATATGTCATTTATTTCCAAAAAATAAAACTGCAGCTTTATTTAAAGGTTTATTCAAGAATAAAGTGAAATTATTGTTCGCATTTTTAAAGTGTAATTTCTGTGTAATAATTGAGACAATAAAGAAAATAATTTAAGAATATTCAAATTGCTTACCTCTATACATTTTCTTTCATTTCTTTTTTCACAGAAATTAAATGGAGAAATGCTTACGTAACTATATTCTTTAAGTTCCTGTCTGAAATTATATTTTAAATAACACCTGAAACAAAACCCAAAAGCACGAGTAGAAATTTTTTCATCTAATATTATAAAAAGTGGCAATATTTTTTTTATAATGATAAGGTTTTGCGTGGGCACAGCTGAAATTTTTAACATTTCGATAACTGTTTATAGGTACTATGAACTAAATCAACAATCTTAGCCAAAAAATTCACAAAACATTTAAATTTATAAACTAAAAAAAAAGTAAATATTGTGTTTTACTAAATTAAATAAAATTTCACGATCATGGAATTACATACAAATATAAAACAAAACAAAAAAAACGTAACATTTTTCGCATCATTTTTTAAAGTACCGTAAACCGGGGAGAGTCTACCCATTTTATCAGTTTGTCAACTTTCAAGTGGTCAAACTTTTGTAAATATTAAAGAAAAAAGACTTTTAATAGGTGTTTCGGAATTGCTATTTATCCCTCTTTAAAGCTGTGAAATCGATTTTAGAAAATATTAACAGTTACGCTGTTACTGTATATTTTTATAGAACTGCTGACAAATCTCTCGTATGGGGCGAGTCTACCCATTCTACTAAAATGAATGTTAACATTGTAAATAATCAAATTTTACTATTAAATTGTTATTTTAGTTACTATATAGGATATTTATGAAGTAAAATTCATAACTTTATTA